TCCCTATTCTGTACTTCAAAATACAGTCCTCCTTAAGTAGGGCAGCAATGGATAACAGGCCTTGATTCTCTCATTTCGCGTAATTTGAACGCTAGAGATTCCATTACAGATCTGCTAGAGAAACATTGCTGACTACTCAAGAACATTCAGCCTTTCTAGATCCACTGCACAATCTTTCTCCAGGGCTGTTTGTTCTCAGTTCCACCCACAGTTCTGCTTTTGTATAATCCTATCTCTTGTTTTCTTAGGAATTCCCAGAGAAACAGGAGCTGCACCGCAACATGCTGGGACTCCTGGGCAATGTAGCAGAGGTGAAGGAGCTCCGCCCACAGCTCATGACCTCCCAGTTCATCAGTGTGTTCAGGTGAATGCACCCGATGAACGGCTGGGCCTGGGCAGGGTAAATGGGTTGGGGTTCTGCTGTTGGATCACCTGGAAACTTTTAAACCCTTGATGCATCAGCTTGCTTTCTCGTTCAAAAAAAGCTCAAAGGAAAGCATAAGACAGCTTGGATTGCATGGCTTAGGTAGGAGACAAGTACTAGTGACAGGCTGGGTCTCTGGAGAGCAGTGTGTCCGTTTCAGGCCAGAGATACTTTCTCTGAAATGATCTTCTCCGGTAAAGATCAAAGACGTGATGCTTTTATGTCTGTGAAATGCAGAATAAGGTTGTTCAGGCACCTCTAAATGATCTCTTCCGTCTTCGTAGCAACCTGTTGGAGAGCAAAGCAGATGGGATTGAGGTATCCTATAACGCCTGTGGTGTGCTCTCCCATATCATGTTTGATGGTCCAGAGGCTTGGGGCATACATGAGCCACACCGAGAGGAAGTAGTAAAGAGGATGTGGGCAGCCATCCAGAGCTGGGACATAAACTCCAGAAGAAATATCAATTACAGGTGAGGAAGAGAGAAGCCTGGCCTGCTTACCCCAGAGCTAGGATTGTCACAGGAAACAAGCAGCAGCAGACAGGAGGAAAGAGGCACAGCCCAGCTCTGCCTAGGGTGAAGGAGAAACATCTTTAGGAACATATTCTTTTGTGAGGGTTTTACGTCTTCCTTTAAGGTGTGTCACACAGACTGCTGAAATTAAGACACTTTGCTTGGCAATTCCTGTGGGAGAAACGTGGGAGCCCAACGGAATATCTTCTGCGTGTTTTTGGTGAAATTGCATAATTCAGGAAACCCATGATAAGACTCTCTGAGACTGCCTAATGATTTTTTCCTGAGACTTCTGTCCTTTTTACCTCTTTAAGTCTTGTTTCCTTCTGAAACTCACGTGGGTCGCTGTAGCTTTCAGTCTTCTCTGAGGCATATTTAAACACAGTTCCTAGAAATCATTTCAAGAGTAGATGTAACTGGTGGAATCCTTCAAAGCCCTTCCTGTAAGAAGGCATCAGGTACTCTGTATTCCCATAGTGCTGGGCAAGGATCCAGAATGAGTGGTATTCCAATGCCTGAGTTGCAGTGTAGACACATCATTGTTGCCAGAAGAAACAGAAATCATTGCACACGAGCAGCCAGCTTTGGCTGGGTGTAATCTTACTTTGGCTGCTCTGCAGAATGATCAGTGCTGCTGGGTTTCAGCTGTCAGAAAGAAATGACCGACATACATAGGATAGAAATTAGTTCCTGGACTTGGTCAAATTCTTTGCATCTTTTCTCTGGGCAGCATGTTTAAGCTAAGCTGATAGAGCCTGTAAGCCTGCCAGTACTGCCATGTGACACAGACGTACTCTTTGATGCCAGAACCTTTGACATGCCAATGGGATTTACTGCTGTGATATGTATGAGCACAGAGGTTGTACTGCTTTGAGTGCCAAAGCTGCTGAAAGAAGCAGCCTTTGGATTTTTCACTTCTACAATATTTCTGTGCAGGTCATTTGAACCAATTCTTCGACTCCTTCCACAAGGGATCTCTCCAGTCAGCCAGCACTGGGCAACGTGGGCACTGTATAACCTGGTCTCTGTCTACCGTAAGTTCCACTTTAGAAAACCACGTTCACTGCACTGGAAAAGTCGGAGTTGTGGATCCGAGCTTGTTAGAAGACAAAGTGTTCCTAATTTAACTCTATGTAGGTAGAGAGAACATTCTTTGAATGATGCAGGAACGTCCAGGCAGCGCAGTCAGAACAAAAACAATGAAATGTAGCGCGTAGCAAATACCTTCAGTGTTTCCGTCCTTCTGGCCACGCTCTTACATTCTCATCCGTTCCGCGTCTGCTGTGCTCACAGCCAGGGTACCTGTAACAGGCTGACTGCATTAAAAAAGTTTTGTGACTTCTCATGCAGCAAGCTCCCCTCCTGTCACCTTGTCTCTTCACCTCTGTGAAGGTTCACAAGGACCTGTTTTATTCTTTTCTCCGCAGCTGACAAGTACTGCCCACTGCTGATCAAAGAAGGTGGGATTCCCCTTCTGAAGGACATGATTAAAATGGCTTCAGCACGGCAAGAGACCAAGGAAATGGCCCGGTAGGAAACCAATGTGCTCTCATCAAACGCTCAATTTAGCTTCAGTTTAGTTTTTATTTCACCACAGCAAGTAAGGCTACCGAATAAAGCCCTGCACTAATGCGTATGAGGAGTGAAGCAAACATGGGTGAAGAACAGGAATAAGAGTATGGAAGCAGGAGCCTATGGAGAGAGGTTTCTATAGGTGGGCAGTACACAGACGGGTTGATGGTACCCAGACAGGTTTGATGGATGCTAGGCAAATGGGCTGTAGAAGTGGCTTGCTGGTCAGGAGAATCAAACTTGCTTAATTACATCTCTTATGCTGATAGTCTCCAGTCATCACTATTCTCCATAATAGTGGTGTGGACTCCTTGTTCAGTATCATACCAGCCTGTCACCAGAAGAGCTGATTGCACAGTTAAAATGAGAGCATTCTTAAAAGGTGGAGAGAGTGCACCACCTGCATGAGCTTCCCCAATTTACCTTCCTTTGGAGTCATCCCTTCAGAGTTGTAAAAGCCAGCTGCAGTTTCTAAATCATTGACAATCTGAGAGCTACAATTTCATACCTGCAAGAGGAATATAAAGGAGAGGCAGAGCTTATCGGGGAATACATACCTTGTGGGTGGGCAGCAGATGTTCCCCATAACTGAAGGGTTGCTAAATGCTGGAGGCGACAGAAGCCTGCAGAAGACTTAGCAGAATACCATTACAGGTTAAGCAGATTGTATATGGCTTAGAAAGCGAACAAGTGATGAATTCACCGAACAAGAACGGTGAATTTCCAAATGGAAAAGCAGGGACGGATGACAGAAGAATGAATGACAAATGTTTGTATGCATGTGTTTCCTGATGTGATTCAAAGTTATCTGATGATTTGTATATGGGGGTGATGAATGAATGGTCACATACAGATCTGGATGTATACTAACATGGCTTGCAATTCAGAGGAGAGGAACTGCAATTATGAGCGCTAAGCTGCTTTTGTGGAGTACACTGGTTTAGACTCAAATGCTGGTTGATGCATATCTCAGGAAAGACTGTGTGATGTAAGCAGCGTGCATGTACATAGAGATCATGCTGTTGGACAGTTCCTTATGTTACTCTTATTGGCCCACAACTGTAACGTGATAAGCTTTTAACTAAACCCTCTCTCCTTATCCTTGTTTTATCCATAGGAAAGTTATAGAGCACTGCAGTAACTTTAAGGAGGAGAACATGGACACTTCCAGATAGAGGCAATCATCTAGTGCCTCTTGCCAGCACTGTATCCAGCTTCTCTCTAATTCACTGTATATAGGGAGGACTCTTTCTTACCAACTTGGCTGTTGGAAGGAAACTCTTATGTGTGTGTGTGTGAGAGACCCTCAGTAGATGAAGGTGAACGGTTGGGGGGGGGGAGGGGACTTTTTGCACAACAAAATGCTTTCATTAAATTAGTGGACTTTTTCGTTATGAAGTTTCAGATTGAAGTTTTGTGTGTATGATTTCTGTATAAAAAGAAAACAAAAAACAAAGACAACTACATTATGTATCTTTTAACCTTTTTTTTTAGACCACACAGAAAGCCTCAAATGACTGTGAGCTTGAAGACCTAGTTGTGTGATCACTAACGTGACATTTTGAATTTCCCATTTTTTAGATAATTCTCTTTTGCTGTATTGCCTGAGGTCCTGTAATGTCCACAAGAACACCAGTCCTGAAATGGCGTTGGCCACCAAATGGAGTTACAGGCAGTGATGAGTTATTTATTTGCTTAGAGAAGTTGGGGGACATGATACCAGAGAGTTAGACCAAATGAACTGACCTTCTTAGTAATATTTGTAAATAGAGGAAACAGGGAAGACATTTTTTTCAAGTCTATTATTCATTCCCATAAGGGGTTTTTATAGAAGACTCACATTAGTGGAAGCGCTGCTAACTGTACGTGGGTCTATCGGAAGTAAACATTCCTGTTAAAGTCAAGAGTTCTGTTTTGTCCCCTTTGGCGGTACAGTAGGATCTGTGAGCCCACCTGGCCTCATAAAACCAGCAAAGCCAGTTGCACGTCCTTGGCAACACAGATTTCTCTTTGAAGGAGCCTGTGCAACAAGGAACAAGGTTTGTTCACAAAGGGCTACACATCTTAATTCCAGTCCTTCACCACCTTTTTAGTTGTGTTCTGTTTTACGGGGAAGGGCTATAAATGCCAGAGAGTGGGCTTCTCCTCAGCCTAATAAGCTCTACTAGGCCCTAGGCAAGAGCAGCTTGTACCATTTGTGCAAGTCTCAGTAATGCACTGGAGGGGTTTTGTTCTTCGGTCTGCATTAGTGCTAGCCATGCTCAATGGCAAATTGGTCTTCCCTTGTAGGAAGCTCACCCCAGCACAAATGCTGTAGCTGGAAATGCTGACATCCTCTTCCGAGACTAGCGAGCCTCCAGGCACCCTTTGGCGGGTGATCCCATGAGATAGCACCTCTTGTTCCACCCCAAGCATCTTCCCTCTCTTCTGAGGAACAAAAGGCCCTATTCTTATCTGACTCTCACCGGCACTAACAGTGCAGTCCTACTCACATCAGCAGCGTTCCTCCAATTTATCCCGATGCAGGTGAGAGGAGAGTCCCACTGAAGTGTTCTTTACCTGTAAGACACTCCAGACTATGGTGGCTCAAGAAGCCAAAGGCCAAGGTTTATCGCATAGTCAGGCTCTCAACAGCACATTGTGCAGTCCATGCTTAGAGCCCTCTGCTTGTCATAACTCTTTTTCATGATTCACAAACCTTCCCTTGGAAGGGATTTTGTGTCTAGTAGCAATAAGAGAAGATGGTGACCATACGAATTAGGACATTTCAGGCCTCTGAGATAGCACAGTAAACCTCACTGCTCTCTTCCCTCGTATACATTGCTCTTGGATTTGATTCGCTGCTATGACAGAGTCTTCTAATGCTCAGTTAATGCTGTCATTGCTGAGCACGTTACAGACAGATCCTAGAGACACAAACTGACACTTTAAATGACAGAACACAGCTGCCCTGGAGAGGTTTACTTTTTCTGCCAACATGGTGTTACCTAATGTCTTTTTTTTTTTTTTCTTCTTTTTAACCATATGTCATTTGTTTTGATATTGTGAGATCTGTATTTTTTCTTTAAGTATTTTTCAAACATATATATTTTTGTGTCACTTTTGAATTGTTTTCATATGGTTTGCAAAACTTGACAAATTATACTTTTTTGCAGTTGTTTGATTCAAATGTATTTTTCTCTCTCTTATTACTGTTCCCCAAGAACTTGTGTCAGTACAAGCTTTGAGACAGGGAAGCTGATTTCAAGATCTGGTTTCCCTGTAATGCTTGTTAATCTTTCTCCTAGATGCAAAACTAAGAGAGGCTGCAAATACTGCTGACCAGCCTCCATGCATCAGAGGAGTCAGGCTTTGCTCATTTAATCCTCCATTTAGTACTGTCGTCTTTAAGTTGCCTCATGTGACAGTGCCCAGCAGGCCTTCTTCCTCTTTACTGCCCATATAGTGAAAGCTGCTACCACTGAAATCTTAAATCAAGTGACAAAAGCCCTCAGGATTCTGACTACGTTGGGGAGGTGGGAGTGGAGCAGAAGGGACGCATCACAGATGTGACAGGTATCAGAAACCTGTGTCCCCAGCATGCAGCTGCCGTGGTGGGGAGTCAGCTGGAGCTCAAGATTGCTCAGCTAGAGCAGAATTCAGCCTTGCACTGTAACCAGAACCAAACAAGTAGGTTTCACTCTGAGATTTTGGCAAAACTGCGCCAAGGTTAATGAACAAAAGATGGCTTGCTTCCATCTAAATCGGGACTTAAGGACATAAGGGGTTTGATCTTCTTCAAACTAGTGCCCTCCCATAAGTTCAGTCATACTAAAGTCCCACCTGCTGCAGCTGGACTGTGGTATCCCAAATTAACCCGTTCCAAGCTGCATCAAACATTTGTTTCACGACATATAGATAACCTCTCAATCCTGACTGCACACATATCATCAGGCAAGTCCTGCCGAGCCTTCTAGGCATGCCGTACCTTAACCAGAATAAAAAACAACACGGAGATTACTGGAGTCAGATAGGCCAGCCTACCAGAAGAGCTTAGCTTTACAAAGTCTGTCACTGCTCCCGGGGGGAAGGGGAGCTTTCCATAAACTGATCTGTGACAGCTAACGACACAGGACCTTTTGAATCAGGCCACCAGCAAGATGAATTACAGAGGCAGCATTAAAAAAAAATATAGCATCCCTGTTGGAGCAATAAGAGCTTTAGCTACAAGCTTCTGTTTCTTCAAGAAGCCAGTAAGTTTTGTGAGCTGGAAAATAACGCTTCCCTTTCAGTAAGG